GTCACTTGCTTGCTAGCAGCAAACAGCCACATACTAAAATGCTACAAGTAATTGCCTCCTTCTGCGATGAGTCTGAGACCTGCTGTATCACTGATTTATTATTGCAGTGCTCAGGGACGTGAGGGGTGCCGGAGCCAATAGTGAAGGGGTCACACAGAGTCACACAGGTTTAAGTTATAGTCAACAATTAACATAATCATGTTTTCGGACTGCAGGGTGAAACTGTAAGAACACGCAAACGTTACGTAGAAAGATGTTATCTTTGTGCTGTAAGGCACAAGCACTGACCCACTGTACCAGTCACCAGTGCCAAGTGCACATGTAAACAGTCCGTGAATCTGCGCGCTGCCATCATGTTCATGTTTTTGTCATTTCAGTCGTCCGACTCACTTCCTGTTTTCTTTGTTTCAATTTCTCACTAACGACTATTTCCCATTCCCCGTTTAGATTCGCTGCCACTCACACACAGCTATACAAACTTAATTGGCAGTTTACCAGAGGCTAAAAGAGAAACAAAAGATCCATGCCTCCCACAGCACCGTAAACTCTGACCATCGCATGTGTGCGAGTGTGTTTGTTTCCTTTGTTGTTGTCGATCCTCACGTGGAAGATCCGTTGCCACGAAAAATTGTTGTGTTCAATCATTTGTTATTTCATATTCAACTACATGTTCCTCCATTTTCTCACACACTGTTGACGTGAGGTCAGTAAAACCACTGTCTGCTGACATCCATCTGCAGTTCGTGGGGTTCATGATAAACATTACAGACATTTTTTTTCCTCAGCCTGCAGCTATGACTGCAGCATGTCTGCGTCTGTTCAGGCTCAGACTGCAAGGCCAGAGAACAGCGTTGGTTCTGCAGTAACCTGGTTACTGCTCATTGTTCTGTTCTTGAACGCCGACGGGCAAACGGCTAATGAAGACCTGGACAGGAGGATCTGATGCGCTAATGTGATTGTGAATGCTAGGATGCACGTACGCACCAACACATGCACCCACACAAAGCCACAGCCACACGTGCATGAACTCATCACATGCTGTACATATGTGTTCACATCCCTGCTCTGCTGCTGAGATGAACAGATTTTATCTGACGTCAAAAACATTTTTTTGTTGTTTTGTTACAACTTGAACACAATTTGACACGTGACTAATTAGTGGTTATAATTTAAAAATAAAAACAAAAAAAACTCTGAAAGTCCTACCCTCAACTTCGATGGTCAGAGTTGAGGCTAAATTTAGTCGAAAAGTTCCAAGAAAATACAAACACATTTTCCAACTCATACTGAGCTTCGTGGCTTCTCTCTTTTGTTTTACCTCTGTCCTATTTTGATCCGGCTGCACTTTAGTGCTTTCCTTTCCTCCCTCGTGCCTTTGTGTAGTTCCTGCCTTTGTGTTTACTCTCACACACTTTCCTAATTACTGTCACCAGCGTCTCATCAGCAAACCTTTTATCCCCAGGTTCTTGTCACTCTGTTTGTGTTGCGTGGCTCTTATTGTCTCATTATACAGGGTTTTAGTGAGCACCTCGTTGCTTGTTTTTTTTTTTTTGCCATGGATGTTGAATATCGAGCTACAAAGTGACAAACAAATGTTGTTTTGGTATTTTGTTTTGGTTTTGGTATTTTGCACAACAACAGTGACCTGTTTCAAATTTTTGGTTTTGGTATTTTGCACAACAACCTGTTTCAAAGGGTTTTTCCTTGCCTTTTATGCATACAATTTTATATAATTTTACAAAACATTTCCTGAACTGAAATGAAAGCAGCTTTGTGCAGGGAATTATCTTTTTACATCTTGTCTCGGGCAAAAGTTGTAAATGTAAGGGGTAAGGATAAGGGGTAATGTAAGGGTATGGGGTAAAATTGTCAACCTTGTACAAACTCACAGAACAGAAAAAATATAAATTTTCTGGAAATACTTTTTACACAGCACAATGTACAAAAGTTAAGAAAACACACTTCAGAAGTGTAAATAAATTCACACATCCATTCTGCACTTCCACATTCACATATCCGTTGTGTAACTAAATTCAACAAACAGATCAGCTTGTTTGAATACCCTGCTGTATTAGTTTTTAAAAGGAAAAAAACAAAAACACAGACAAAATTAAATCAATCAATCATGCATGCATACACACAAACAGACAGACAGGCACCAACAACAACGCTCAGACAACGTGACTGTGGAGTGAGGTTTTTAACACAAGAGGTTTGATGAGCTGACGAGCTGCAGCAGGGCAGGCAGCGAT